GAAAGTGGATGGGAAAAGGGTAGACATTTTTTTCTAGGAGTTTGGCTGTGAAAGGTTTGATATTATCACATTTTATCTGTGTCAATTTATCACTCAAAACAACTGAGTTGTTTGTTCCACAGGCTTACATAACAGAACATATTTCAATTTTTCTGAGGTCTGTGATTTCATCAGTATTTCACCCACCAGTGAAGATCACAGCCCCTCTTTGGGGATGTTAATGAGCCTTACAAATTAATGATCCTTATGAAGCCTCTATGCTTGAAAAATTCCTCACCCAAGATCCAGCCTGGTGAGCTGCCTCTCAACTTAGGAGGCTAAGCTTCAGGCCCTGCCATCTTAGGGGGACCTGGCTGAGCTTGCATCCCACAGACTTCCAGAACCAAAAACCATCTCTATCCCCCAAGGATGCATCAGAACAGGACTTTAGGAGAGAAAATAATAATAATAATAACTAACTTTTATAAATTGTTTTGTGGTTACAAAGCACTTTCACGATCTCATTTGATCCTCACAACAAGACAGGTAGGGCTATTATTAATGTGATATTTTACAGATGGGGAAATTAAGGCCCAATCACAGTAGAATCAAGCATTTATTAAGCACCTTCTATGTACCAGGCACTGTGTTAAGCACTGGGGATACAAAGAAAGGCAAAAACAGTAATTGACCTCAATAAGCTTATATTCTAATGAAGGAGATAGAAAGCAATCTCAGGAGGAAGGCCCTAGCAGCTGGAGAGGGTGGGGCAGAAGGGGACACCAGGAAAGGCATCCTGACAACGGTCATTTTGTTGATGTTCTGTCATGTGCAACTCTTTGCGACCCTATTCAGGGTTTTCTTGGCAAAGATACTGACGTGGTTTACCATTTCTTTCTGCAGCTCATTTTACAGATGAGAAAACTGAGGCAAACAGGGTTAAGTGACTTGCCCAAGGTCACACAGCTAGTAAGTTTCTGAGGCTGGATTTGAACTTAGGTCTTCCTGACTCCTGGCCCAGCACTCTATCCACTGCACCTAGGAAAAAGTAATAGCTAGTAATTATAATAATAGCTAGTATTTATATAGCACCTTAAAGTTTAAAAAGTATTTTACATAGGTTAATATATTTAATTCTCACAACAATCCTAAGAGATAGGTGCTATTATTATCCCCATTTTACAGATTAGGAAACTGAGGCAGGGCGCGATGAACCAAATTGCCCAAAGTCACACAGCTATTAGATGTCTGAGGCTGACTTTGAACTCCATCTTCCTGACTCCAGTTTCAGAAATCTATCTACTTTCCACCAAGCTGCCTCATAATAGATACTTGTTGATTGATTGAGGTGTGAAATACATAAATATGCAGGAGAAAAGATACAAGGGATTTCCACCCCCCAACCTCCAGGTGGGGGATTACAGAACTACAGTCATTTTGTACTATTGAGGCTTCGTCTAAATACACCTCCCCCCCCACCTCCCCTTACCCATCCATCACGAAGCTTATCTCCAAGACTATTGATAGTGAGGGATTTACGTTAACCTCTTGTCCCTAGAAAACACTGTCTGAGTGACAGTGAGAAGTTGAACAGATGTTCTCATTGAGAGGACAGAGAGAGGTGGGGAGGTGGAGGGGAGGTGAATGTCTTCTGATATCGTCAGCATTTCCATTTACATCTCTGCTTATTCTCTGCCCCTCATTTGTTGTCTGTGTTTTAATCGTTTCAATTCAACACACACTTATTAATTGCCTACTTTATGCAGGGCTCTGTGCTAGGCATTGGATCTGGAAAGGTTATCATTGCCTCTGATAATCAGTGGACCAAGCTCACTCTGAAATGATTAGCTTGCGGGTAATTATACTGGTGGGGGGCTCAGAGCAATGACTATCTTTTCTATGATACTTCCCCCAAGTACATTCTAAGACCAAATCAATAAGTCGCTGTTGGTAGGGACCCAGTGACTTTGTCTCCAGGTCTTTTCCCTATCTTAGAGGGCTATTCCCGGAAACAGAATCACATTCCACTGGGAAATGTCTCCTGGATTTTGGAGTGGTTATCACAACAGCTGCAGGCGTTGATCACCCCACACCTTCCTTTCCCTTCTCTCCTCTCATTCCTTTCTCCCACCCTCTGAGCACCCCCACCACTACCACCACCACCACTTCTGCTCTTGTCGCACATAATAAAAATAGCATTGCCCCAGCCCAGATTAAAGGTGAAGTTATAAGGCAGGAATGCGTTCACATGGTGAGGTTTTCACAAGCAGGAGTGAAAGCCCAGAGCCCCATCAGACCTAGAGGAAGAGAGCCAGAATTTAAGTTCCTAGGAGGGGGGAACAGGGTGAAAAGCCCCAGATTTCTTCTTCATAGGAGCCCTAGACCAGTGCAGGGGATCCTGAGGAGGAAGAGGAGGAGAAGGACCACTTCCCCATGTGGAGTGCCAGAGGCTGCATTTACTGACAGAAAAAGAGATCATGTTGCTGTGGCAACTGCCCCCTCCTCCACAGAAAATCAACACTAGAGCCCAAAGCTAACTCACCCATAGAGCTCCCCAGCCAACTGAGTGGAGAGCTTGAGCCCACCCCGCTCCAGCACTACCACAAAGGGGTTAAATGAAAGGAGTTGGGGGACAACTTAGGAACAAAGAGCAGTTCTGCTCCTGAGTAAATCTGAGCCATCTAAAGCAGAGGGTCTTAAGCTGGGATCTGTGGACTCCCGAGGGGGTCAGTGGACAGATTTCAAGGGGATTCATCAGCTTGGATGAGGGGGGAAATGGCATCTTTGTTTTCACTAACCTCTAATTGAAATTTAACATTTCCTTCAATTAGTTAAAAACACTATTCTGAGAAGAAGCCCATGAGATTCCTCATCCTTCCAAAGGGGTCCACAACACAAAAAATAGTTTCAGAGCTCTTGCTCCAATGCTGGTTGATGTGGATTTGAACCCTGGCTTTTATACTTAAGTGACAAATCCTTGAGCAAATCCCTCAATCCCCTTGGACCTTCATCTTTCACCACCTATAAAATGAAGGGGTGGGAGGAGAGGAGCTCTGCCATCCTCGGACGAATACCCAGGAACCTAGGATTCTTCAGAAGCTTTGAATTCTGCTCTGCGTGTCTGACATTAGAGTTTATAAAATCATGAAAGGGTTGGAGGAGAGAAACCACCGGACTGATGACCTAGACCTGAGGTATCAGAAATAGTCTCCTTTAAACCTCAAAGGAAGATGTCAGAAGATTGGGGTTCTGGTCCTGGCTCTGCCACCCCCTTGCCAAGTGCACAGTTAAGCCAGTCCCTTCCCTTCTCTGATGCTGTTTCTTCTTGCATAAAATGAAGGTAACACCCCTCCTGCCTTCTTCCCCTGGTTCTTGTGAGAATCAGATGAAAATATGAATACACAAGTGTTTCAATGCTGTAAGATGTCATTCTAATGAAAGGGATTTTTTTAATAGGCAAAAATAAAGAGGAAATAAACATGTAAATTGATATCCTAAGTGGGCCCCATCAAAAATGTAAACATTTCAAAAGGGGGTTAAATTAACAGATTCATAAATATAGCTGAAAGGCATCTCAAGAGATTATGTGATTCCCCCCCTTCCCATTTCTCAGATGAGCAAACTGAGGTCTATGGAGGTCATATTTGTGTACTTTTCCTTCCTTACTCACTGTCCCCCGATTAACTAGTCACTTTCTAGACCAGGGCTGGCATCACACCCATCTATGTTTCTCCACTGCCTGGCCATGCCTTGACTATAGTTGGTACTTAATAAATGACTGTTGAATTTTATGAAACAGAATTGCCCCAGATCCCATGGCTACTGAGGGGCAGGGCTATGATTCCAGGTCTCCAGGCTGCTTCTAGGATGGCAGATCTGAGACAGGTTGATGAGGGAAAGAAGAGGATGCTCAGGGTTAAGGTGAGGCTATCGATAACAGCAGCTTCAAAAGATTAGGGAGGGAAAACCCCAGAGCTCCTCACAAATCATTCCTCAGAATGTACCATCAGGGCTGGCAGGATCATGGGGTAGGCTCTGTGAGGCACTGTTTATGTTGTTAGGGGAGATCACGAGGAAAGGCACAGATGCAGCTGTGCCTTGCTCTGTTCCCCAGCTCTGTCCTACAATGCTGTTCCTTGGGATGGTGAGTGAATATGATACAGCCTTCCTGAAATAACCGCAGACAAGTACCCAGGCTCTGCTGAGCAGCTGGCCAGTCATCTCCAAAGGGGACAAGGCCTTCGCTGAATAGTCACAGGCAGCCCCTGAAATCAAGGAATATGTCCCCCCATCCCCACCCTACCCATCTACCTTCATCTTCTGAGATACTCTCCCCCAGACAGGAAATTGGCCTCCTGATACCTGACTCAGTGTGGAGCTGAGACTAAAAGTATGGTACCCAGATGCACCTTGAGGCCTGGTTAGGAACTGGTTGTCTGAGGGAGGGGAAATTTGCATTTAAAATGCAAATCGGTCAACAGATCAGTATTGAACACTGATTATTTGGGAGGACAGTGATCTACTGAGAGGAAACAGGTTGTCATAGATGTTACACCTTACTGTAGATAGAGCAGAGGACAGACCACCAGGCCTTGACTCAGAAAGACCTGAGTTCAAATGCGGTCTCAGAAACATACTGGTTGCATGACCCTTGGCAAGTCATTTCACCCCTGTCTTCCTCAATTTCCCCATCTGTAAAATGGGGATAATAATAGCGCCTACCTCCCAAGGCTGTTGTGAGGATCAAGTGAGATAATATTTGTAAACTATTTAGCACAGTGCCTGACGGAGAGTAGGTGCTAGATAAATGTTAGCTATCATTATTATGAATAGAAAGAGCTTAGACTGGGAAACAAGAGACCTGGGTTCAAGTCCTGGCTCTGTGACTTGGGAAAGTTACTTCATTTCTCAGGGCCTCAGTCTGTGCATTTGCAAAATGAGGGTGATGGCCTACATGATCTCTGAGGTCCCTGACAATTCTGATGTCCTCCAATGCTATGAATTATTTTATCCACACCTACCTGATAGAACTTGGATTGGCTGCAGTACCAGACTGGAATGTTGTTTGAAGAAAATGGGAGGGCGAAAAAGAGAAAAAGGGTCTATGGCAAGCTGGGTAGACTTCATGATTCTTGCTGGATTCTACTGGGCAGAGCCAGAGTTTATTGAGGCACTGGGGATGCTGAAGGCAAGTTGGACCTCCAACCCAAAGGCATGATTTTGTTATAAAGAGGTCCAGAGTCAGGAGTTCTGGACTGATACCGGCTGTGTGACAACAAGCAAGTCATGTTAGCTCTCTGAGCTTCCGTTTCCTCATATGTCTAATGTGCTTAACGACGCTTAGGACACCCATGACACAGGGTTGTTGGGAATAAAGTGCTTTGTAAACCTTAAAGTCCCGTATAAATGTTAGAAGGGAGAAGGAAGAGAAAGAGTAAAAGAAAAAGGAGAAGAATAATTCTGGATTAGGGAGGGAAGGTTATTTGAGATAATCTCCAGTTTATCCTGTGTGTATCTTGTTTGTTCATTTTTATTTACATTTTTATTTACAAGTTACAAGTTGTCTCCCCCATGTAAAATGTAAGATCCTTGAGGATAGGGGCTGTTTTGTATCCCAAGCACTTAGCTCGATGCCTGGTACACAGTAAGTTCTTAACGAAAGCTTGTTGGCCTGTCTCAGAGACTTACTGCCAATACTCTGTTCGGTATTCAGGGGAGGACAGAACATGACTCTTTTGGCTGAAGGGGAGAATGATGGGCAGGCATTTGGGGAAGGGGACAGAAAGTATCTCAGCCAGAACCGACAATCTCAGTTACATGTCAGCCCAGATACCGTTAATGTCCTTCTAAGAGTGTGCTGCAGATTGGAGACCAGATGCAACCAGGACTATTTTGGTCAGCAGGCTGACAGCAAGCTTCTCCAACATCAGCAGCAGTGATAAGGTGGAGCCAAGTCACAATCACCTTTGCTGAGGGCCCCTGTTGGGGCGGGGTGTGGGGGGGTGCCTTAACCCTTCCTGATTCACTCATTGAGATAGTTTGTCCCAAGTGCCTATTGTAGGCTCAGACCGCAAGTGTACATGGCCCTAGGGGTAACCCTGAGAATGGCGGCATCTATTTCCTGTAAGAAGCTATTTTTGCCCCTCTGGGCTGAAAGGAACGCCTGATTTACCAATCTGGGACCAACCACCTTTGCATTTGGTCTAGTACAGTGCCCAGAGCCTAAAAGAGGACCTTCCATGACTATTTACTAGATGTTTGTTCATTTAAATTGATTTTTCCAGTAGCATTTTAAAGCGCAAGAGAAAAATCATATAGGACTCCAGCACCTAGAATGGGGTCTGAGCACAGTGAGCGCTCAGCAAATAATTGCCACTGATTTGGCAGAGCAGACTCACGTACCAGAGTCCTTCCAATATTAAAATTTAAAGTGCCACCTCTTCCAGGAAGCCTTCCCTTATTCTCTTTTCATTGTTGTTATTGTTGTTCAGTCACGTCTGGCTCTTCATGACCCCATGGGGGGTTTTCTTGACAGAGATCCTGGAGTGCTTTGCCATTTCTTCCTCCAGTTCATTTTACAGATGAGAAAACTGAGGCAAACAGGGTTAAGTGACTTGCCCAGGGTCACACAGCTAGTGAGTGTCTGGGGCCGGATTTGAACTCAGAAGGGGAGTCTTCTGATTCCAAGCCCAGTGCTCTGTGCACTGTGCTACCTAGCTACACTTGCCTGTTCTTCCCCCATCCACCTTACACACCCACACCCACACCCCCCCCCCAGTCTTTGAATAAAGAAGTAGGCCTTCTAGACCTTGTTCTGATGACAACACCTAGGAGATTAACAGGCAGACAAACACACAGAGCATTTATTTATTAATCATATGCTATGTGCCAGGCACTGTACTAAGTACCCAGGATCCAGACACAAGCAAGCAAGATGGTCCCTGCCCTCAGGGGCCTTACATTCTAATAGGAGAGGACAGAAAATGGAACTGGAGGGTGGGGGGGAGTGTCAGTGGAGATGACTGGCATGGTGGGGAGGGAAGATGGCCGTAAAGTGGTTCAGAGGAGATCCAGGCCTGGGCAAGATGATCTAAGGCAAAGACAGCAGTCTATGGCCCTGAGGCCCCTGGCTCACTTCTGTCTCCCCCTGTCACTTCTTATTACATAGGATCTTGGAATCCTAGAATCAAAGGAGGGAATTTCTATAAGGCGAGCCACAGGACTGATATTACGAGTTAGACCTAAAAGGGACCTGGTAGTGTGCTATAGTAGGAAGAATGCTGGATTTGGAGTCAGAGGACTTGAGTTTAAATTCTGCCTCTGTTACTGACCAGCTGTGTGACCTTGGGCAAGTTAACCTCTCTGGGCCTCAGTTTCCTCATCTGTAAAATAAGGAGTTTGGACCAAGTGTACTCTAAGGTCCCTTCTAGCTCTAAATTTCTGTTTCTAGTTTAATTGCTCTTTTAATTCTTCATTTTGCAAGTAAGGAAACTGAGGTCCAGAGAGAGGAAGTGATTTTTCCAATGCCACCCGGAGAATATGCCAGGCTGAATGTGTTACCCCATTCTTTTCCCTGGCTCCTTTCCTCTTCTATATTTCCCTCCCACTTTCTTTTCTTTTCTTCCCTGCCTTTCCCTGGGTCCTGCCAAGGGCCTTCTTTAATAATCCCTCCCCCCACACCTGACTACTGCACTTGAGGTGGCTCAGACTTGGCCCGTGGCCTGGGCACAAAAGGGCTTACTTAAACACACATGCCAGAGCCCATTCTTGAGGGATTGGCTTTCCCCAGGGGCTGGATTCTCCTGAACACATTTCTTGGACACTTAACTCTCAGGCTTGGAGCAATCTGGGCCTTGAGCACCCTCCCCTCAGACAAATGGCAGCTCAGCACTTGAGGAAGCCTCTATATGTGGGGGTGGGGGGGAGGGTAGAAGGGAGAGGGCAAGGCTCCATGCACTTTGGTTGAAAATGACGCTGCTTTTCTAACACTTCAAAAAAACCTATAAAAAGCTACCTACCTCTCCAAAAAAAAAAATCCTTCCACCCCCTCCACAGCACCCAACCCCCTCCCTTACTGCCTGCTAAGGGCCCCTCTCCAGTCTCCACCTGCCCCTGGATCGGGTAGTCTGTGCTTTGTTCAGTCTCAGGGGAATTGGCTGAGTGGCTTGAGACCACAGCCAAGGCGGATGCAGAAAAGCCCAACTCAGGGCTCCCTTTCAGAGCCTCACAATCACAACGTGGGGAGGGACAGGGGAGAAAGGGAACCCCTAAGGAGAAGTGAGCAGAGTTGTGCCAGGGGGTACTCCTACCAGGTGAGGTAAGTCACTTTGCCTTAATGGGTCTCATCTTTCACACTTATAAAACGAAAGCACTGGACTAGTGGATCTCTGATGGAATGAAAAACTACTCTGGCCTTGAAATCAAAGGACCTGGGTTTGAATGCAAGTCATTCAACTTCTCAGGTCCTCAGTTTCCTCATCTGTAAAGTAAAGAAGTTGGAACTAGAGGCTCTGTAGCATTATGGAAATAAGTCTTGGCCCTGGATTTGGAGTCCCAGGACCTGGGTTTGATTCCTGACTTTGCTGCTTCTTCCTAGCTGTGTAAATTTGGGCCAGTCACTAACCCTCCATAGGCCGCTTGGCCAGATGATCTCCAAAGCCACTCCCAGCATTAAATCCTTTGATCTCTGAGCTTGTGACTCTGCGGGCAGTTCACCTTAGGGGAGGCAGGAGATCCGAAGGAGAAGAAAATATGGAGAAAAATAGCTTCGGGAGTTATCAAGTTACCAGAGAAGCAGTTTTATCCCCCCCTGCTCCTCATGCCCCACAGCACCCCTCCACTCAAAGGAAAAACAAATCAGCTGGCAGCTCATCTTCCTGGAGTCGCCAATGCAAAACAGTAACTCAAACTCTGCAGCTGGTGACTCCACGGCCCTCCCAGAGCTGCCTAACCTCCCCTAAGGGCTTTGACCATCCAGCCTGAGAAAGTCAGTCTAGAGGGAACTTCAGTTGTGAAATCAAGCATCCTCCTCCAGGCAGCTCAGAGAGACAGAGAAGGCCTGTCTGTTCAACCTGTAGCCACACAAGGATTATTTTTTTTTTCTTTTCAGAAAGGTTGCCACAACTTCTATTTTAGCTGTGGTTTCCTTGCTCAACCCATCCTCCTGAGGGTCTGTATCAAGCATCGGTCCCAGCCCACTTACCTCACTTCATCTTGACTCTCTGCTTAAAAAAAAAAAAAGGAACAAATATATATGTCCAGGTTTTTTCTGAAGGGAGGCCTCAAGTGGGTGTACCTATTTATCCCCGGACTTCTTTGCCATACAATTCTAGGTTATTTCTTGCAATTCTCCACCCCTCTACTGTCCTCTGGCTCTGAAGCTCAGAACATGAACAATGAGTTTGAATTTGACATTATACCAGCAACAGGGGTGCTAACGTTGTTGTCAAGAGACTTGGATGTGATTTCAGAAATAATACTTAGCACACATATAGCCTTGCACAGACTAGGCACTCAGTAGATACTTGTTGAATTAAATTCAAAGAGTCTTCTGTTCCAATTCCATTTCCTCCAGGGAGCCTTCCCAAATTAACTAACCCAGCCAGAATCATTCTTGCCCATCCCTCTAATACACAGCTCAAAAAGACCTGAGTACTGCCCCTGACATTTGTTATGTGACCTTGGACAAGCCAGTTGACTTCTCTGAGCCTCAGTTTCCTCATTTGTAAAAATGGAGATAATAATAACTGCCCTAGACATCTTGAGAAGAATCAGGGAGTAGTAGGTGGAGAGTCAGGAAGACCTGAGTTAAGTCTAGTCTATGACCTGAAGCTATGTGATCATGGAAAAAAATTATCTAAATCTAAAAATCATCTAGTCATCTGAGATGAAAAATCATCTCAGTGTTTCCAAAAACTCTTTAAGGTTTATGAATTACTATCTGCCTTGGTAAAAAGGAATTCCTCACCATGACTTCCAAATACTGATGAAATCAAATGACTAGATTTTTTTTTAACCTCATAGAGTCACCATGAAGATCAAATAAAATAGTGTATAGAAAGTACTTTGCTATTTTAAAACATTATATAAGTATATTAATGAAATGTAACTGCAAACAGTTATGTGTGTCTATGGTTCCATTGCATGGATCGTTTTATGGGTTTGTGTATCTTATCTATACCATTAGATCGTAAACTCCTGAGGTACAGAGACCCCTATATATTTAGAATGAGCTG